TGCTCGTAGCTGTCTCATTGGCCGCCCCTAATCCTGCCGTTAACAGAATCGATGCTCCCCCCAAGAGACCACATTCTACCACCATTATCGGTTCAAAAACAACCCTCAGCTCATCGACAGCGCCACACATCACCCTCAAGCCAAGAAAACCCGCCGTCAACAGGATCGATGCCGTCGGTGTCAATGTACACGGTAAACCTACCAGCAGCTCAGCCCACAGCAGTAGCTTTCGGACTCTCGTCAGCACAACCGTGGGACCACACATCGCTCTGAATCCCAGGAACCCCGCAGTCAACAAGATCGATGCACCTGGCCACAAGCCTCATTCCAGCACCCGGACTAGCTCAGCAACAGCCGCTAGCTCATCGAATAGACCTCACGCTCCTATTGAAGAACGAGCCCCAGCTGTCAACAGAATCGATGCGGTTGGCAATGGTGTGGTCGACCAGGCCTTGGTCAGCGTAGTCGGTGGAACCCCTGTCACTCTAGCTATAACCGATATTCAACAGCTAGAGGTAGCAGCGTAAGACAATTTTCTACTTTTTCATTTTATTACGGCTGACGAAGACTTGCGAAGTACCGAGATCGTAGGCGCCGCAGCAGCTCCCATGCCCGTCATCAGTGTCAACCCGTTGCCAGATAATACGGCTGTCCCTGCATCCTTCTTTGCAGGCCCTACACCTAGCAGTAGCGCTATACCTTTCGAAGTCCCAGACACCGAAACCGTCATCTACATCACAGTTCACCCCGACCGCCCCATCGCCAAGCTTGATATGGGCCAAGTCCTACTTCACGCCATGTCCGAGTTACGCGAAACCATTAACGAAAATGGGGAGGATGGCTGGTTGCCCGAAGACGACTGGTCATGGTTTGCGGAGACGTGGGATTGCTTACTAACTGCGGATCGGAATTTGATCCCCGGACCGGGTGGCCGTGCGCAGCATTTGACGTACGGAGTTCTGCACAACGCGTTGGTAGGACTGTGGGGCGCGATGTTTTCTCATGGAAGGTACTTTGCGTGCGACTTTGAGATTGAAGATGCACAGTGGGGCATTGTGGGAAGTGGGAGCATGAATTCTTGGGACAAATCGGAGGGGAATCTCACTACCTCATAGATTAAGATCCCTCGATGTGGTATGTTCGATGCCAAGGGATTGCAGTGAGAGCCTCTTGGTAAATCCCTACACAAGCGAAGCATCGTCTGTCAAAATATGGTTCTCGGCCACGTTTCAGCCATGACTCCTGCGCGTGTCGGCTGTAGCACCAGATTTGTATGGGCTGTGGGGGTCGAAGACGTAACCCAGGAGAGTTCTGAGATAGAATAATTGATGCTACCTACACATCACACCCGAAATTTTGACATCGTCGTGGGAGAGCGGGAATTTACTGGCATGTAGCAGCTTTCAAGCTCTCGCTCAACACTGTGACTCGCTCCATGTGCGGGGAATATATCGATACGATACATATGATTGATCTTACTAAAACCGTCTATGAAACCTGAGAACGCAATCTGTCTTCGCAAGCACGTGGTTATCGCAACCAAAAGCAAGTGACCATTTCCCCCCCTTCTTTTCAAACAATGAACCCGGAGTCCCAACTCCAAGTCGCTCCTTCTCCAGATCTCCCTCCTTGACCATCATCACAGCGTAATGTGAATGGCGCTCTGAAGAAAAGCACCACCTTCTGAGGTGTCATCACCAGCACGGGAAGTCTCAGAGCCGTCATCGGGAGTGTCAGCGCCGCTGTCGGAGCTATCAGAGCAACGACCATGGTCGCCCACTTCAGCTGGAGACGTGCGCGCTCTGTCGATGAAAGTTTCTCGAGGGGCTGCGCCAAGGTTGTTCGGATTGTTGAATGCTCCGGCGCCATCACGAGGGGCATCTCTAATCTTCGCGTGAGCAAGGGGGCCCGGGGGGTGTTGTTGATCGCGAGGAACATCTTCGGCGACGCCTTCGGCAGTAGCGTAGGCCACGGCAGCTGCGACAGCTGGGTGATTTGCATCGTTGGCTAGCTCGGCCTGTACACGAGCTGCGACTTGCGCAGGGGTCACGGAATGGTAAGAAGGAGGCGCCTGCTGGTTACGGCCTCGGGATCTGTCAACATTGTCATTGGCGCGTTGGTCTTGTGGTGGGCTTTGACGATTCCCAGCTTGATGAGGTTGACTTGAATCACCACGCCTCACACGATGAAACTCCACATCGCCATCCCAGATATCTGCTGGGCGGTGTCCAGCGACACGAGGCATTCGGCCACGTCTATCTGGTAGGTCACGTCCAATATCGTGGACTTCGAAATCTTCAGCCTCCTGCCGCTCCCGCTCTCGATCCCCAGCATCGAATTCATGATGCATTTCGATAAGGAATGCTCGATGAATTATCTCTGCAGCTGTTGGAGCTCGTATTTCTCCAGTGAACTCGTCTCTATAATCATCAAACACGGATCGGATAGTGAGATCTGAGGGGTGGTATCCTCTGAGACGATTTCTAAGATGACAACGTGCTTCGTAGATGCTGTCCTGAAGATGATCGTCATCGAAATCGTCCACGAAGCAGTATTCTGGGCGATAACGTCCTGCTCTACCCAAGTCACGACGATCCAAGCGCCGTCCCATGTCGAAATAGTTGTCGTAATTGTCCGGAAAACTGTCGTAGTTATTCAGACGGGGCTCCATGCCGCGTCTCATTTGAGGCCAGAGGCCACTCAAATGATCTACGTCCATGTCACGGCTCCCACGAAGCCCACGTGGAGCATGAAGGCTTCGTGGAGCATGAAGGCTTCGTGGATTGAGGTTCGTGTCAAGGTAGGACCATTGATCAAAGTGCCCCATCCCCATGTCGCGAGCGGGAGAGAGCAGCCGATCGCTCCTCAATCGGTGCCTACGGGAATCGCCGTGTAGCTCATCGTCGAAGATAAACCCGCCATCAGCTTCATCGTATGAGATTGGACCGCGGTTTCGGCGACGTCCACGTCGATCAAATTCCAGCTCCTCATCAGCCGCACCGTATGGGGGTGGGCTAGGGTACCGACGTCCACGCCGACCGTGTTCGGCTGGTCCCAGGTCGTTGTACTGCTGCTCCAGGGGCGGATAGGTGTCTCGATCCTGACTTGCAAGCCCACGACCAACATGCCTGAGGTTTTTTCCGCGACGAGATTGTCCGTAATGAGGGGGTGTCATTTCTTCGTCGTCTTCGTAGCGATCATGTTCACGCGCAGGCCGACGCTGTGGCATACAAACTCGTACTGTGTCGTTGGCTGTAATATCGCGCTCAAGGAGGTATGGCAAATCCGTTGCCGTGTAGCGAGGGTGTCCTGCCATGTTGATGTGGTGGAAGCTGGGTCCTTGTGAGGGTGTTGGTGAGTGGGAGAATGAGAGCCGGCTAGAGGGAAGGGCAAGGATGGTACACACTTTTTGAAGGTATGAATTGACAACTGCGTTAGGTATGGCTGATGTTGTAAAAAGTGGTGTAGTTGTTGTAAGGTGATGTAGGAAGGAAAGAACAGTGTAGCACGCACTGGAGTCTTCTTTTACAAGCTGGATGTCGAAGGCTAAATGTCGAGCACAAGAACGATGAGCAACACAGCACTGGGTTGATCGAAAGTGTTAACGCACCGGAAGTGTTTTAGCTTCGTTTCGTGTTAGACATCACGAGTCAGTACTCTAATGCCAAGGCTATAGGGCTACCATTCGAATAGTGACACCCTACCACTGAGGAGTATTTGCGTTGCCGTCTGACCCGATTGGCTGCTCAAGCCGAAGCACTTCTCTTACATTCCGGTTATATTCACGTATCCGTTTTAAGTGGGAGCAACGTTATATGAAACATGGGGAACTCTCAGCTACTTACAACATATGTCCTGCTGTTGTTGTTCCTTTCGTTTTGTTCCCCTCGAAGAATGTATTTGGCAACCTCGGGTGCCAAATAGACGGCCAGACAGGCGCTCGGTATGTATGTCAATTCATGGATGCAATACAAATCCAGCACCGGTACTCCTCAGCTAGTCGTAAGAGACTTCAGTGGAAGTCATGCATAAAGAGAGGCTCAAGATTCCAAGTCCGCACAGGCAAATCGTTAGGAAAAGTGGCAACCCTACGAGCTCCCATGTTTCGTTTCTGCATACTTGTGTGGCTATCAACCAGAACGAATTGACTGTTCGTATTGACTCAATCGAACTCGGAACCTTTGCCGCGGTAATGGCCCCCTTTATGCATGACTTTTGCGCGATCCTTCTCGATGAAGGAGCAAAGCCAGCCTACTCGTGATGTGGAGAAATATGCATTTGCAAAAAGTATCCGGTACAGAATCCTCTGAGACTTTGAATACTGATATTCAGCCTCCGCAGTATTGCAAGGCTGTAGGTTAATGCCTTGAGCGTAAGAGACTTCTCTGCGTGAAGTGATGTAAGAAGAATGAATTTGCGGAGTCGCAGAGAGATCTACGACCGCGCTAAGCTGGAAGGAGCTTATCAGATAATCTTCGACCGGAAAGCGCAGCTCTACAACAACTGTACGAAATAACCATAGTGGACTGAGTGTTAGTAGGTCTCATATTCGTAGACCTTGGCTTTGATGAATTTCATAGTGGCAAAGGGAGACATTTATCAGCAGCAAGTCATGAGTATACTCGTTCTAGATCAGCAGGTGACTCTATATTCAATTTTGTCACTCTTAGAGTCATAACATTCTCTTACCCACCCTCTCACACCTATACATAGCTATTTATTCACTTCAGATCTATGCCGCATAGATATAAGAATTTCCTTGACTCTGGGATACGATATATAACTACTCAGGCCTGCTAAACCCGGCGTTGAGACGGCCTGATCACATATACATATATTTTGCTGTGCCCCTATAATGTGCATCGAATATGAGACAACTGAGTCTTCATTGTGAGTCGGAGACGAATCTTGGTTGCTGGAATTCAAATTGCAAGGTAAGTGACAAAGCACATTTGTAAGCTCTGATCCCCACTCGTCGTACTAACCTCTCCAGTGCCTCAATGCTCTCAGTCCGAATTGACGCAGCAACCTTTTCCCTTTGGGGTCTTTCGCCGAGTGGAGACCATTTCATAGGAAGTAGGTGCTTGTTGGCCCTCTCCCCACTTGTCTTGACTTACAAGCTTGTCATAGGAGCTCCTATGCTTTTAGATACATCAGAGATAATCTTTGTATGTTCTAATCCCCTATGATAGCGAGCCTGCGCTTCGCTTGATCGCTCAGGATCAATGCAATTAACAGAGGACTGTCCTCAATAGTGATCCTAGAAGGCAGTGACAACGAGCAAGCTACCGGATCGGGTCGACCTATCTGAAACTGAAAGTTACTATCAGATCATTTGTCTATATTTGTTACAGTGAGCAGTGTGGCTGTTGCTAGCAGACAGGATGTGGTTCCACAGCATCCTTGTAGGCTCATAATAATTCACAAACATCAAGCTCAGAGATTCTACCAGGAGCATTCCTTCTTATATAACTCTGCAAAGAACCTTGGGGAACAATGAAGGACACGCAAAGCTGAATATTGCCCAGCCATTTACCTTTACTCATGTCCGTCCGTCTCTCATCCAGACATCGTAGCATGCTCTGGAACACCAAAAGGCTCGGCACTGTTGGAGACTACAAGGCATCTGTCCTCATTTGTGTTGCTTAGTCGTGAGCTACCGACGACATCAAGGAGTCAGACTTGAAGGTGTTGCAGCTGGGAAGTGGCATCATGCCCAAGCTACTCGGGCAAGACGGGCGTTTGCTATACGAAGCGAGAGAAAAGGACAAGATCAACAAGAACAGCTACAAGGAGTATCTGGCAATGCTTGATGACAATCTCCAAAGCCTGTCAGCAACCAAGCAATATGACATGAAGAGTGCTACTCACCAGGACCCCCTTACCGCCTCAGCGGTGGCAGTGAAGCTTCAGGGTGGGATGACTGGCAAGATTCAGATCTCCCACGGAGATCATTCCAAGATTTTGTCTCAGCAAACGGCCTTCTACGCATCAGCTGTTGAGATTGTACGCCGAGAGCTGGTTCAGTATGGAATGATCGTTAGCAACCTCGCTAAAGAAACCAAGGACCAGCGTAGCAAAATCCGAGCAATCGCCAAACAGTTGCTAGGATATCTTGACGCATACCAGCCGAAAATTGTTGGCAAGGACAAGGCCGCTGCTCCTGAGGACAAGGCTGCTACCAAGGACAATTAAGCAACATTTGGAAATACTCATAGCTAAGTTGGACCTCCTCGAGCAGGAAATCCCGCAATCGCAGGACCTAGGCGAGCCATCTTTGTCCTCTCTTACGACGCAAGAGCCTGGACGCTCGACAGAACCTGTGACATCGGTGTCATAGGAACTTACAAGTTGAAAGATCAAGCGATGAAGGCTGGGAGAGATTGGGTGAAGGCTGGGGTTACCAGTCTACCGGGATAGCCACAACAGTGGCCACTTCCATACGAGGATGGACGCGCTTCGGCGCCAGGGATCTGGAAACTTTCCAGATGGGTTGACGAGGCTGACGACCGCTCGTCCTACCAGGTCACTGACCTCGCGCGAGGTCTTGCTTTAAAAGTCATTGTGACTGAGACGAAGCTGGATGGGTCTCACAACGGGAGGGAGTACTCGGAGGACGGGGAGGATGGAGGTGGAGGGGAGGATGCCGAGTGGGATGGGCAGGACGAAGGAGCGTTGTGGCCTGAGGATGGCGAAAGAATGGATGTTGAGGGTGGAATGACAGGAACGGTCGCACCAGCGGCTTAGGAGCGCCGTAACTCGGCTAGATCTGTGCCAGTGGAAGCACATGTCAGAGCCAACCATGCGCTTAAAAGCTGTCACCCTATACTCCTACTACTGCATACCAGAGTAGGTAATGCTCCCAATTGGAGTCTTGAAACCATTTCAGAAGTCCCATAAGTTATGCGTGTCATTTTACATAGAAGCGTCGAGCTCTGGATTCCACATAGGGGGGTTCTCCCCCTAATTCCATACCTGCCTTAACCGCCCCCCGCGTCCCGCAAGGCCAGTTCGACCACTATATCTTGATCCAGCTCTACTTTATCTCCACCTCAGGCCTCAGAATCTCACGGTCGGAATCATTATGTTCTAGACTCCAGTGCTGAAGCCTCGCCCATCTCGTCCGAGACCTCGAGGCCCGATGACTTTGAAGCCCATCCGGGTGCCAAACGTCCACCGTTTCACCGTTAGAATATTCCATTGGATTTTCAGCATCCCATCGAATATATAGCATCCCACTCGCTTCGAATCAAGACGCGACCGAATTTCAAAAAGACCGATCTCCATCGCCATTGGACGAGGAGTTGATAACGTAGCGCTCGCGACGAGTTGACCTATCCGTGACTACGTAGTCTACACACCCTCTCCCCTCGCCAGTCTCAAGGAAGGTTGACACGGCTGTTCGATCATGATTGACTGGTCTCCTCCGAGGCTTTGATCTTGTTCTGATTATGGCGGTGGTGGTGGGGTTGGTGGTGATAGCGATTCGCCGTATTGGTTGACAACGCGGTCGCGTCCATGGTTTGAGGGCTGAGTTGGATCTTCCTCTTCCTACGAATCGGACCGGGAAGGGTCTACAGATTGGCGATATTGTCGGCGTCCAGTGGCAGAGGTCACTTTGTCTTGGTGTCGTACTCGTTCTGCGTTGGTGAGGAGTCGTCTTGACGTCTTGTGCCGGAAGGGGGGCCTTGAGTGCTGGAGGGTGGTGTGACGGAGAGACTGATCCGACTCTCTGTTTGCTTAGAGACTTCTGCTGAGATGAAGTTGGTATTATGAATGGGAGAGCGAAAGGAGAAATTGGGTTTCGGAGTACACATGGAAGCAGTGCACCATGTGGTTATGGCCATTGACGTCCTTATCCTCCTTGGCCGGGGTAGTGTGCATGTGGGCCAGTTTGGCGAAGTTTTTGGTCTTGAAGGTCCCGAAGAAGATTTGCTTGAAGTACTCGACGTCCACACTTCGGAACGTTTCAGCTATACTAAGAGAGGGCTTCTTATCTTCTGCGTGACGAAAAGGGACCCCTCTTCTTTCCTCCCAGTCCGACTCAGAGTCGGACGAGTTCGAATCCGATGTGTTTGAGTGACGATGACGATGGCTGCGGCGGTGGCGGTGGTGGTGGCGGCGTGACTTATAAACCCGGCCCTCGTGGCGATGGCGATGATTTCGCTCCTCTTGGACCTTAGACAGCTGGGCTATTAATTCCTGAAGATCTACTTTGACGGTAGATGGGGGCGTTTCTTCGATCTCGTCCGGGCTAATGGTACTCGATGACGTTTTGTATACGACGATCTCTTCGCGGGGGGGAGGTGTTTTGGCCTTGGTGGCCTTCTTGGCCTTAGGGGCCTTCTTGGCCGCCTTGGAGGTCTTTTTGATGACCTTGGAGGCGGGGGTGACTCGTTTGGCCGCGTTCTTAGACCTGGTAGTAGCAGCGGGAGCCATTATGAAGTATGTAAGAGTATGGAGTGTGTTTGTGGTAGTTGAATAAAGGCTAATGTGTATAGACTCAACTACGAAAAGAAGAATAATGATATGGCTCTGAAAGAGAACAATTCGAATGAAGAGCCCACTACAGGTGCAGTGGCCACACAAATAGTACTCGCCATGGCCACCTGTCTCCCTACTATCGCATATCGCATATTGATGAAACGGTTGATCAAACAACCACCAACGCTATGGCCTCATAATGGACCCACTAACCCACAGTCCCACTGTTGCGAGAAGATGGATCTGTAAGAATGTTGGGAATTGTGATGGGAGGGCTGGCAAAGTGGCCGTAACACTTCGAAAATGGAAATCTCTCCCGGAGAGCACCATGTCGCCTCAACCACTTGCATACCAAGGGTCACCAACCGTCACAGCGGCTGGACCCCACTCGGTGCTCAAGTACGAGCAGACTTAAAGCCAGTATCGTGATTCATGGATAAGGATTTATGTTAAGGGATGTGGGCTATTGTTATATACATATTCCATCTATCTCAGCGGTCGCAAGAGGTTTAGATGCTATACAGGTTCGGGTCCTATCTCGCAAGAAGAATGTAGAAGACCTGTTATTTCCGGGTTCTCGATCCATCGAATGTTTAGAGGGTAACAGGGTGCATCTACAAAATCGGTGCAAACCTGCGCACGGGCGAGCGTCTAGATGATGACAGGTCAGCAAGTCCATCAAACAAGATTTTGTAAAGACGTACATCTTTACCAGATCTTTGATCGTGCTCTCGATGACGAGCTGCACCACGGTCCAAATTTCCGACGCGTAAAGGTGCAGGACCTCGGCGGCCGTGGCGAGATCCGCGCTCCTCATGATTGCGATTTCCTTTGGAGGGCAGGTGCAGGAAAGACCTGTCACTGTCGTTGAATCTTTCCGATTCGGGCTCTATTCTGTAAATCTCCATCTTGATTTGCATAATCTTGTCCCCGAGCCGTTCTTGTTCCATTTCGACTCTATCAAGCTCAGCTTCAAGTTCGCCGAGAGACGGCTTTGATTTGGCAGTTGAAGGGTTTGCAGTTTGAGCCTTCGATCCATAACCGCTTCCTGCTACGTATGGGACCATATCGGTAGAGGTTTCGTCCATGTATCTAGGTCCGACGCCTCGTCTCCCCTGGGGTCCGCCTCGTGTCGATGCTCTACGGGGATAAATATCCTCTCCTTCGAAACCGTCCATGTTGTCCAAGTGACGAGGTCTTGTGTCTCTTCTCCCCTGGGGTCCACCTCGTGCCGATGGTCTACGGGGATCGATGTCCTCTTCGTCGAAATCGTCCATGTCATAAAAGAAACGGCGTCCGGTACCTCGTCTGCCTTGAGGACCGCCTGATGTGGAATTTCTGCCTGCGTCCATGCCCATCTCTTCAAAATCGTTGACAAAATCGTCCATACCTTCTTCGTCGATCTCACGGATTTTCCGTCTTGTCATGTCAGAACCACTTCGTGACCCTTGGTGGGGCCCACCTCCTGTGGAACGTCTGTCCGGTTCGTGCCCATGAGCTCTTTGACCGTAGGCTTTCGAGCGATCTTGAGGTCGCACCATCTTGAAACACGCTTCGTCACCTAGTTGTTCTTAGTATCTCTCATTGATGACAGATTGGAAATGGTAGGCTGATGCTGACAATAAAAGCTGCACCCAAGTCAGAAGAGCCGACGAGAGGCTCACTTACCGTGATTGATTTCTGGATGAGGCAGACGAATAGGAGGGATACAGCAGTGTGATCTTAGTTGTGAGAAGGTCTTTTCGTTAGAAAGACTTAGGGGACAAAATTGCAGAGAAGAACATATAGAAAAAATGGAATGTTTGGGCAGATGAATATCTTAATGTGTGACCTTAGGAGGAGAATATGTTAAGCTCCAAGCGCGACCTTGAGTGGCGAATGTGTTAAGACCAAGGGGTGATGACGCATGAAGGATAAGGTATAGGAAACAAGGCCGGTCACCCTCAGCCAAAATTACGAGACCAAGCCGAGGACAAAGCTAGCAGCATGACCGTCGGATGATAGCTAATGCTTTAGGACCTGTGATTCTATCATATCCATTAAGTGTCTTATTATGAACCTACCTACTGTCACGGTTCCAGGCCTCTCAACACTGCACGGGGCTTGGCCCTACCTACACAAACGCCTTCACTCCATTCACACTGTGGATCATATCATTCAGACCATATCCCAGTCCATGACACCTACAGCCATAATGCCGGCAAAGGCTTCCTCTCATTCTAGGTTATCAGGTGATGGCTAATGCTTCAAGACGGGCAAATTACAAAATCATACCCCAAACTATAGGATTCTTAGGTATGAATTTGTAAGATACCATTAACAGGGGTATAACTTTGTAAGTTACCATCTATAGGGGTATGATTTTGTAAGCTATCGTAGTGACTTGGAATTGCTATCTTTTTCTCGCGGGTAGCGTTAGCATTAAATAGTGGCGGGGTTTTGGGATAAGGTTTCGAGGCGGGTTGGCGTTAGAAATTATTCCTTCGGGGGCCCTGCGGGGCCCTATAAAGAGTCAAATAGGGGTGTCGATAGCGTGAAGTGTAGATACCCTCGGGTATAACTTTTTAGCCTAGCGGTAATTCGGGTTGCTAACAGTTGGGGTAGGTAGCCTAGAACACCGTAATTATACCCTTCTAATGGTTTATAGACATAGGGATAACTACATCTACAAGCTGGTGGTATCTTACATTTTTATACCCCAAGAAATGGTAACTTACAAATTCATACCCATTTTTTCGGTGAGAGGTATGGAAATGTAAGATGGGGTATGAATTTGTAAGAATCCCATAGTTTGGGGTACGATTTTGTAATTTGCCCGCTTCAAGACCTGTAAGCCAATCCTTTTTAATAGGTATCTACCCAGCTACTATTGCCATAATTCTAGCTCATGTCTTCTATCACGGGGGCCTTTTCTGAGAGTTGATGCAAGAGCTTCGCATGACACCGCATGGTAAGCAGCGCAAGATAAAAAGAATGGCAGTACACCTTCCACAATCCCGCAATAGGTAATGACCGTACCGCCTTGATCAAAGGCCATCAACATGAATCAAGTCACTCTGTTCTCCTTCACACCACTCCTGAAGATGCATCGGCTGACAGAAGGTTAGCGAATGTAGCCAACAGTATATCGTGGCCTCCTACCTTCTCATCAGTCTGATCAGCGGCCAGAATGGCCACGACGTCCTGCCGCGGACGCACGATATCCACGATGAGATCCGCGTGGCTGAAAGTCAGACTCTTCGTCAGAATAATCTTCTTGGCCCCGGCGACGCGTTTGCGCTCCTATTCCCCGAGCCATCTTGTTGCTTTCGCGATGCTGGTACTCGATTCTAGCAATATCCTCTTCGATCATGAGCAAACCCTGTTCGAGGTTTCTGCGCTGTTTGCCAGTTCCATTCTTACTCAAACGTCGCAGACTCTCCTTAGTCTCGACGTGACTCTGTCTGAGCGTCGCAAGGTCAGGTTTGTCAAGGTAGGACATGCTTTGGCCTCCTGCGCGACCTCCACGTGGATTTGAGTCCATTCTCTGCATGGAGGCTCCCATTCCGCGAGGTTTGCTGCCACTTTCGCGTTGCTCGGACTCCAGTCTGGCGATATCTTCAGTGATCATGTCCAAGTTGTCTCTGAGCCTTCTGCGCTCTTCGCCACTTCTGAGCGTTTCCAAAGTTTCCCTCATGTAGGCGCGACTCTCTCTGAGTGTTGGAAGGTCATCCATGATGAGAGTATTGAAGTGGTCGTCAATGTCTCTGGCTCCTGTACGACCTTCACGTTCAGTCGATTCCATCTCGGCCAATATAGCGTCCATATGGCGAGCCATTTTGTTTCCCGCACAACCTCCACGTGGACCAAACGAATCCATATCGTCCATGAAGTCATTTCTGTCGTAAGATACTGCGCCCCGTCTACCTTGAGGGCCGCCTCTCGTGGAGCGTTGGCCATAGTACATCAAGTCACGCGCGGGATCAGGCCCCCAGCTTCCAACGTTGTCCGTAAATTCGTCATCTCTTTCACGGTCCGATCGGCGCCGGAGATTTTGGTTTCGCAGGATCACAGAGTCCTCGGCGTCACTCAGGTGGTTGCTGCCGTCGCCGTGTCGACCCGGAGGTTCTCCTCGGGGACGAGGTCTGCGACGATCCATGCTTTGTGGATGATGACTTACAAAGGTTGAAGTGGAAGAAGAAGTAAGTAAGGAAGTTTGTCGGTGAGCAAGGAGTCTTGATAAAGTCCGTAACAGTGGGTTTATGTAGAAAGGAGAAAAGAATCTTTCGGAATATGGTCTTTTATGGGATTCAGCAAGTGGGGGGAAATGTCACGAGCTGATGTCGAAAGAGGAAGGCGCTTAAGTGTGTGTTGAAACGCAATCGTCTCAGCCCACCGTTGCCACCTGAAGCGGGAAAGTGTTATGCAATAGCAGCTGCAGCTTACTGGTCACGTTCCCAGCTTTCGTCCGCAACACGAACGCGTTACGTCTCGCTCGTGGACAACGCATCGGGTTTGTTGGCGCTACTCTACGTGCTGCGTCATGTCTTCCTACCGGCTGCAAATCGCAGGCGATTCCTGCCACTAATGCCGAAGGGTTTAGGTCTCTGAGTGCACGGAAGAGACTTTGGGAGCATACTCTAACACCCCCTGCATATCGATCTTCACCATCCCGGCCGAATGATCGAAGTAAGCACGACTAGCACGCTCGTGGTTTTATTGGCTACTCTTGGTTCGGTTCCGAGGGTGCAGCTTACAGAGCTTTCATCCTATTTGCTATGCATAAGTACTAAATCATTACTGCAGGGTGTCTTGTTCAGGGTATTCTGAAGGCCATTATCATTACTTAAGATATAACGCAAGCAATTTTAACGAAAGCTGGTGGTGAGGCAAGATTCGCAAGCAGCTGAACGATCATGTTCTCCAAGGTCAACAAAAACCCCCATCATTTCCTCCCACCCCCTAACTCCGTCCACTTTTCCGGCCAGACTAATCCGTGTCCTCATCCTATGCCCGGCGAACGCCGCTCCGACCACCATAACCCTGCGGCGCGGAAGGACCATCAGAATCGTCCTCGTACTCCTCACGGCGAGCGCTAATGGCACGAGTTGCATAGCCTCGCGGAGTGGAAGGACCCGGATCTCTGTCATCGTAATCGTCTCTCCGGGCACCGATGCCACGGCCTTGGTACTCTCGGCGGGCCATGGGTTCATCGGAGTTGGTGTCAGAGGATGCGGAAGAGCCGTGTGCGTCCTCGCGACGGTCTCTGTTCAGCGACAAGCGAAATGCTCGACAATCTTGATCGGTTTCATGGTGTAGACGGTCGTTGCGGTCCATTTCGGCGTACCGCGCTTGTCGCCCCGCGTCTTCCCTTCGCTATCCGAGTATACATCATCAGTATATCAACCAGCGACGCTGACGAAATGGCGGATAATGTAAAGATACCCGTACCTGCAGCCTACTCATCAACACATCACGACGAGCCTGTCGCGCCCTCGAGTCCACAGACGTCGCCTCATCAGCCCTCCTTGAGCTTCCCCCTCGATTGCTATGACGAGACGACGCGCTTGCATGAGCGCCATCGCTCGAGGTGGCGTCAGAATCAGACTCGCGGTCGCGCGACGTGACGAACTCTCCGAGTCCTTCTTCAGATGAACCGTCTGAGGCCTCGCCTCTCGGGAGGCGAGGGTTGCGGTTAGAGGCGTTGCGATTGTCGTCTGAGCGAGATCGTTGTGCGTGCGAGCGGCGTGGATTGCGGAGGAAGGGGTAATTGTGGGTCACGTCGTCTCTCGTGACGTGGGCGTTGCTGTCAGCGGTGTTGGACGTCTCGTCTGACTCTGAGCCAAATCGATGTGCGCGCGACCGGTGTGGGTGTGGATTGCGTAGAGTTTCGCTGGAGGAAGGGTAGTTTTTGGTCATTTTGGCTGGTATTCTTGGTGTATTTGTGACAGAGTAGGGGAGGAGAGAGGCGGATGGGAGGAGACAAAGAAGAGGGAAATGTTTGCCTTTCAGGTCTCCGAGGAGGTCTGGAAGGGTTATAGTAGGGAAGGAAGAAAGCAGCTTTGGGAATGATGATGCTTTATAGTATACACCAAGCTAAGAATGATTTAACGAGCTGATAACACACCGAGGGTGGCGGGAAGGGGAAGGCGATGATTTTTGTGTTAAAGAGCATTCGCCTCGAGAGGCAGGAGCCAATCATTTCCATCAAAAGCGAGCACGCCTTGAGGAGGAGCAGTCAGTCTTTGCCACTTGAAGAGGAAGCGGGGTAGACTTTCGCAGCAGATGCGCGATGGTGACTGGGGTACCTGAGACGAGAGAGTTTCAGGGGTGAGTGGGCGTTGTCCTAGCCGAGAGACTCACGGAGGTGGTCTCAGCCATGATTCAGATCCTGAAGATCAAACTTGAGGGGAATTTTCGTTTGAACTGTCATGCGCAAAGAGCAGATTCACTGATACGGAATCCTGGAGATGTTGTTGCTGATGCAGCCCATGCGTCAAGGAAAAGACGCTACAGCTTCCCCCGATGGGCCCCGTGGGAGCTTGAAAAAAGGAAAGTCGCAGCGGTCTATGAGCGATTTCTAGAAGTCTAGTGGGATTAAAAACAGGACGAGCTACTCTCCCGTGGCCGTCCACCTCCGGCGCCAGAACACTTGCCTTTCATCAGAGGTGTCATTGTAACTTTGTTGATCGTCGGATCTCCCCCAGTTCCGGCGATGGCCATCGCGAAGACGATCCTCGTGTTCATAATTTTCATAGCGAGGATACATCCTACGCCCACTATAGGCCCGTGGAGTGAAGGGTTCTCACAGTCGTCAACGTACTCGTCAATGCAGTCGTCCTCGTGATTTTCATCACCAGAACTAATGCCAATATCATCATTAATTCGTGGAGTCCTGGGCTCTCCAGAGTAGGAATCAGAAGAGCTAGAGGAGTGATCTTGATCTCTGCGATCTACCCTGTGGGCGCGACGTGCTCCTGGTCTCTGATACAAAGACTCATCAGTATATAAACCACTCGAACAAGATGCCTAGGCTCCGTACATACATCTGGTCCAGCTGCCATAACGTATGCACCGAGTCTGGGATCGAAGTACGGATCTTCCGCATAGCGACCATGTGTACTGCAGTATCCGAGGGGAGAACGATTGCACGTGATGCAACCGCTGTCAGAGGTACTGGAGTCTCGATTACTGATTGAGTCCTGCGGCTCTAAGTTGCAGTACGAGAGGCCAACATGGGGTGAGTTCGACCGTGCACCTCTAGAACCGTACCATGAGTCGGATTAGCTGGTGTCAGATGCACGGGTGAGTATTCCTGGGTCTCTCCTGGATGGGTATCTTGATGATTCGGAATCTGCATCAGGACAAGCACCATGAATGGTTGCTGAGAAACCACTTTGTGAACGTCTCGTTGGCTCGGAGTCTTCGGCGTTAGAAACTTGTGCCTCCATTCCTGGGAACATGCTTCGGCGGTTCTCCTGTGCAGTGTGGAAGCCGGGCCCTGATGAGGAGCCCATGTCTGAAAGCCCTCGTGCATGCATTGGGGGACATGGTCTAGCCATCTTGTCAAGATAGGGTAACTGACTGTTGGTAGTATGGTCGTGTCGAATAACGACAGAGGGGGTCGATGGAAGAGTTTAGATGGAAGGGTTGTGCAGACGCAATGCAGAGCCTTAATAACAAGAGTGAGGCGGTCTAGATACAACATACCGTGAATTGGATTGGGGTCACAACAAAGTGTGGAATCGCTACTGGAGAACGTTGACGCGGAAGTTGGAGAGAATTTGCTGTAAGGCTCTAAAGTATTCGCTAATGAGGTTTCTGGAGAAGTCTTGTGGGGAGACTTGAAACGAAAAAGGAGCGACTACGGGGAAAAAAGGGGTATGCGTCAAAAGAGGATTGAGAAGGTGGTGAAGAGGAAGATCACCTGGTTTACTGTCCCGAGGGACTGGTCGAGCATCGTGCCCGGCCGCTCATGGTAACGAGTGCTTCCAATATTAACATATTTGGAGCCCAACGACCAGGTGTGTATCTGGAGATGCAGATTGCCAGCTTGTTTCAAAGCAAAGCATAACCATCTCTTTTATAAAAGAGGAATCGAAATGGATTGTCCGGGGCAGAAGATCGGAAGCAACCAAAACTGCGTTCGCATGAAAGCAATAGATCCTAGGGTCTGCACATCGACGCCACGGTACCTGAATTATCCGTCAATTCTCCTAACTTCTTCCATGCGGGAGGGCAGTCCCGTCATGTGGTCCGAGGAGGCACTGGCGATCTCAGCCCATTTGCTAGTGGACGCGTTGAAACCAAAGGCTCCTGCTGCAGGGCGCCGCGTTGCAACATTGAGCGGCAGGATTGCCCAACAGAACTAACCAATAGTAAGCAAGGGCGATCTTTTAGCTGCTCTCGCTTTAGTGACATTTTACCCGGTCGACGGGCATATCCACGATAGAAGTCAACAACCGTGGAACTTTGAGTGATAGATTTCGATTCTGAAGGTGTAACTCGACTGCTTACAAAGGGTCCTGGGCTCGGTCGGAAGGAAGGAAGGAAGGAAGGAAGGAAACTAAGGATACCGTCTTGGCATTCGCTCGTGCGTGGCATTGCATAGTCACGTGATGAATAGCGTTGCATTGAGACTAAGTAATGAGAGCTGGCTGCATAACCTTAGTGGCTGCTCCTAGAATTCTTGGGGGTATTCGCTAGGCAATGATGGCTTTCAATGGCAGTCATGCTCCTAGCGGTGACGTGCAGCCATAGGATGGGATTTCTATCACGCACAATGAGGATACGCTATCACTGACCCGGAGAAAACAAATCGTTGCTTTCAGGCCCGAGCGGCAAGTTCTATGGCCATACCACCCATCTCCAACCTGTGACCTTATGCTTCCATCTTCTGAAGGGCCACCTTTGTAAGACTTGGAAAGTCCACAAAATCAAGGAACCAACCCTATCCCTAAGTGTTGCCTGAACTCAGAGATCTTCGGCCTGAAACGGCCCAACGGTCTGCCGCCTAAAGTGTTTGGCAATCGAGGGATATGCTTGATTCTAGCGGCTGCAGTATTGGCTATGAAAGACAGGTTATGATCAAGCGGTAAGCATGATCGGGCTCTTCTCCCGGATTGACTCTATCCGCAACCTGTTCAGCACACCGCCTCCAATCCGAACGCTCATCACCTCCTCCCTGTCCCCAATCTTCTCCCCAAGATCCTTCCCTCTACCTTTTCTTACCCCCGCTTGAGCTAGCGCTGGCTTGAGCGTCTGCTCTGTCCTTTGCCTCCGCTATGTCCATTGCCTCTTTGATACGCGCTTTGTCTTTTTTCGCCATAATGTTTTCCTTATCCGGTGTGCCGTCCTTCTTGGGCGGAGAGGGGAATTTTCGGAGCACTTTCTGGAGGTTTATGCTCGCTTTGGCGGCTGCGACGCTTTTGTTATTTTTCGTCATTGTTGTCGGACTCTGGTGATTGTTTCCCAAGGAGATTGGTATGAGAGAATGTGGTGAAGGAGAAAGACTGAAGAGACATGAGGTTTCTGTGGGGGGGGGCTTGGTCATTTATACTTGTTCGCCTTCTCGTCCGTTTGTTTGTACGAAAACAAGGCTTTCCGAAAGGTTTGTGAAGGCCACGCTCCGTCGGAGCAGAGAAGATGCCTTCTTGAGGCGTTGGCATCTTGATCTGATACACTCTGCAGGAACGATTTCCCGATGACCGAAGTCCAGCATTGGTGAAGGCACTTACGATTGAGAACATCACTTCATTTGTGTAGAATGTTTGAATTAATCCCGTTGCGTGATCGCAACAGGCGGTACGTATTTGAACAAACACAGATTTCGCTAGCAGCCTTGAGTGGCCATCTTTTGCTTACTGAAGTGCCTTATGGTGATCTTCTGCTGTTAGTGAATGCCATAGCAGCAGAATCTATCAAATGCTAGAAGTGCGTCATCGTTGTCTTCGCCCCGTCAGCTTTTAGTCCACGAGCCTCGTCATATCTCTCAGGCGGCTTGTTCACCGAACCAGAACCAATTTTTTATGCTCTCATCGAAGCCGGCTTCGTTGTTGGTCTCCTCCACCGTCGACGACGTGTAAAGTTTGACATAATCCTCATCGGAGCTATCCTCAGGGTGATCTTCGACCGTAGTAGTGCGAGAGTAGCTTCCCTCGCGAGCTACTGTCGGCACCTGGACCTTCGGGTGTAAAGGCACCTCGGCATGAAACCGGGAGGCCTGACCACTTGTAAGAGGAATGGAAGGACTCTTTACATCAGGAGCCGATAACACCTCTGAAGATCCCGCCATCCCCGTACTCTTCTCTCTAACTTCAGCAAAATTGGCATATTGGTGTTCACCGGTGAAGCAAGTGGCCGTACTAGGCGCAACGAACTCTTCGTCGGGCAGTTCCCCAGTCGCCAGAGCGTTGAATGGATATTTACCGCCGTACCCCAAATATCCTGTATATGAGTAGCCGGATTTGTTGGCGCATGTAGTATGCTGGTAGGCAGGCCCGTTCGTGCCCCACAAAACGAGCGGTGGAGGAGCCGGCCCGAAATCGTTCTTTGCAGCATTGTGGAACACAGGTGGAACAAATGGATGTGGAACACCAGGAACGAAATCCATGCTGGGACGACGATAAATCGGAGCGCGGGGCGCCCCTTGAGGGTGATTCGGCATCTCTGGGCCATGTGTGAACGAATGTTTTTCGGGCTGACGGGAAAAGCCACCCAAGCTGATATCCACTGGCCTATTGGCATGTGGTGGCCAACCTGGATACGTCATCCTACCATACGGATCCGCCGCAGGAGACACCGCAGGGAGGTCTCCGAGCGGCCAACATCCAGGATATTCTTGCCGATGAATAGATTGATGGTAATACTCGTCACGGAAGATACTGGGGTGATGGTACCCAGGTATGCTCGATATTTGCGGAGCCCCTATACGAAGCCTACGGGCTAAATCTGCGAAGTAGAGGGCTTCCTCGCGAATATCAGAATCGATCCACCATGTACGCGGATTGATATAGTTGGTGTGATATTCAAGGGTGTGGGAACCCCATAACACTGCTGAGACGTGATCGAATGTGGCTTTGTCCATGAAGGGCCGAATTTGTTTATGGTGTTGCTGAGACATCATGAAGAGCCTAGTAAAGGTTAGTGCTATGCTGCTGTAGTTAAGGGATGTCTGGTACTTACTAGGGCCTATTTCGATAAAATCTAAGGTCTCTTTACTTGGTATTGAATAGGCTTCGATATGGAAGACAATGGTGGTGGCTGTTGACTGAAGATGTTGGATGACGAAGAGGGTTGCAAAGAAGAGAATTCTGGACACGATTTGAGATCTTATAGTGCTAAATGCTTGTGTCAGCAAGTGTGCGTCATCACTCGAAAGACTGAAGCGGCAAGTCAGTGTTGACGACGTCAACGAGTTAAGAGAGTGTATTGTAAAGATGCATGAGATCCCTGCGCTTCACCATGAGGAAGGGCTATGTACGAATAAATACCCCACCATGGCAGTCAAAAAGAAACAACACAATAACCACAACACCATTGTAACAACGCTATTAGGAGTTGAACCTATTATGGCATGAAATGAAACTCTGCAAAACTCGAAAATCCTCCTCGAGGTGTGGCGACGCCTACTATATATGTTTCAGCTAATGAACCCATGAGCTCTGGGTAGCTTGTTGAGAAGGGCGAAGGCACTGACGATGTTATAATCTGTTGTCAAGCTAAGCGCAGCACAGGTATGTTATTTGTCGGTTTGCACCTCGACATGGCGTGATTGTCGATCCATGCGTGCGCTCTTTGCCGATTTGTAAGATCTACCTGACTGCCTAATTCCATGGTGGAGCTGTTGCATGCTTCGATCAAACAGAAACGTATGTATGAACGAACAATAGTGGTCTGACAGAGCAAAAGGAGCGTGTAAAAGAAGCTTCTCTCACACAGCTGGCTTGGGTCTTTCTTTAGATGTGGCCAACGGAGAACGCGAGACTATTTGTAGTTGCGACGTTTATTATTGCGCTGGACACTGAAGGCATCAACATCGATCATTACTGCAGTGGTAGTATCTAAGATGATTTCGGCTTCGAGACAGTGAATTGTATTGTTTATGGAACACTTATGGGTCTTGTCGAAAGGTCTGCCAGAGCAACCTCTATGCTCCACCTACTTTACCTAGCAAGAAAGAGAACGAGGCAATGTCTCAGGTCATGTCCTAAAGACAATCTCGCCAGAAACTCCTTCTTTCCCAGCCCTATCCTGAGTGAAAATTTGCACACATCCAATTTCGCAAGTCCATCTCCCAACACTACCCCCCTGCGTCGCGAAGACTCCTAATGCCTGCGACGATCACCCGGACGAGGGCCGCCTCGAGGATCATAACAAGTCTCGTCCAAAGGGGTACCATCCGCCGTGGGAGGTCCGCGCTGGGTGCCACGTAGAGGAGCACCATGGCCAGCACCGGTGCGACCATCAGCCTGCGCAGAGCGAGCCGAAGGCGGTGGTTGCGCCGGCAGCGCAAAAGTGAACGGCGAGGGTGGTATCCTCCCGCCGCTCGGAATAGGGAAAGTGACGCGAGGAGGCTGCACGCTACGAGGCGGTAGTGGAGGAGACTGCACCCTACGTGGAGGACGCGAGATGGGGCCACGACGAGTAGTGGGCCGTATGACTTCACGTGCATCATCGTCGTAGTCGTCGTCATCCTCGAACTCGTCGACATTGCTCGCGAAGGTGGAGGATTGGGAATGTGTCTCACGAGAGTGATCGGTGCCATGTCTTCGGAGAGTGCGATCGGCAGAAAAGCGGCTAGTGCTAGTACCAGGACTGTGAGCCAGAGTATCATTGTCGGAGTAAGCCTCATCAAAGGGATCGTCATCGAAGGAGTCGCCATCGAGTGAATCGTCACAGTCACGGCGACCGGTCCCGCATCGACTTTCAGAGCCGTGTGACGGACCGGTCGCGTGGTGCATTTCGTCCTCGCGAGGACGAGGACGAGAGATGAGGGTTCGATCGTTGTTGGAACGCTCAGCTTCTTCGCGAGGACTAGGACGAGGAACAAGGCTCCGATCGTGAGTGGACCGGCCGCCTTCCTGAGAACGGTGCTCAGACCCGCGAGGACGAGGACGAGAGGCAAGGCCTCTATCGTGGCTGGAACGCCCGCCTTCCTGGGAACTATGTCCAGAACCACGAGGACCGGAGACGTCACGGCCCGTCACCCTGCCATGTTCCGTCCCGGCGCGGGCAGCTTCCTCCAAATACTCCTCGAAGCTCAATTCACTCGCGTACGGATGTTGGTCGTTGTATTGTCTCCGCATCTGGCGGTAGTCCTCTTCGCTCATGTCGTTGACTGTACGCGCAGCAGCACGTGCTTGTGACATTTTCTTGCAGTTGGACGACGCGTCTGTTGGGAGAGGCGGAGTGTAAGTAAAGAGTTTGAGGTGCGCTGGGGATGGTGTTGTGTGTGTGGGTTGATGACAGAAGGATGTTGCATAAGGTGTGGTGTGCGCATGTGTATGGATAGAGGGTGAAAGGCAAAGGAAGAGTGTGGTAGAGATGTGGAATAGGAGTACGGGGACTGAGAGTGGAGGTGTTGTGTGCCTTACCTCTGCTGTCCTCTTGTTGTCGGCCAGACGCTTTCACTAAGCAGTCTGATTGCACAGCATGTATGTTCTCTTTGGAAATGTTTTTGGAGAAGACAGCTGTCGGAAGCTGTACAGAATGGAAGGTCGGGTTGATGGTTGTAGAAAAGTGAACGTTATAGTTGCCGAGCGTTCATAAACGCTTTGAAGGAAATTACGTGGCCTCTTGGACATTGGGTGCTAGAGTGGAATACACGGAAAGATCACATGCAATAAAGAAAAGTGTGTTGGCAATGTCACGGAAGAACCTGCATCAGCCATTGGCTTACCGGAAGAGCTGTTCAACGAGCCCGGACCACGAACAGAAAGCACGCATCATGCATATTTCTATGCTCTATGTCAACTTGCCACTGCACCGTGAACACTTCAAAGAGGTAACAGCAGAGAAGCAGCAGTAAGGATGGATAGATGAATCATTTCCCCCTACATTTTGTAATCTCGGAGGCAAATACCGGTCATTGCTGGCTGGATGCATGCACCAACCAGAACCCTATATTGCGTACATGGAGTCTGTTGAATCATACTGTGTACGCTTGAGCATATTCGCCACTATGGCGTCCGCGGGGGTTTCAAAAGCAATTGCCGTCAATCGTTCCTTCTCCAACGTCTTTATTCCAATCCCTTGTTTTTTCCTCGATCTTGCAGAGCCCCGAAGTCGCAGACCAGAGGCCAGGGAGCCAGCGTTAGTAGATCGAATGCAGTCTCTGCCTAGCTGGTCCAAATGATGATGGTGTAGAGGAAGGGAGAACCCTGCACTTTGTCCGCGAATCTGGGCTGCATAGGCCGGTGGCCAGATAAGTCTCCTTAGATGCCCAGGAAATTGGCGTTAGCTTTGGACTCAGGAGAGGATATCATATGGCTCCATCGGAAAAACGCCAGGATTTGCCGCGCAATCACGTGGTTGAAAGCGATGTATGTCCTCCAGGCTGGCTCTGCTGTCAGTTCAAATCTGACATTTCCGGGGTAATCTTTCCATGAATCCGGTGCATTTGAAGATCTGCAAGCATACAAACGCGATGTAGCGACTGATGTAAGACCACCAGATAGCGCGGAACTCCTCGTACGTAGTTCCGAATTCGGCAGTCGGAGGGAAGAGACCCTGAGGAACATCCTCATAAAAGCTCTAAGGCTTGCTCTGAGCCACGGTAATAGCCGTCCATCTCGCCCCTAGCGATATACCACAGCTTCCTCAGATCCGGGTCCAAGCGGATCTTCTCATCCCACCATTTCTCGTGCAAGCTGTGTGCCCCAGCTTCATACTCCTTCATGCTCGGCCACGACGTAGTCCATTTGTAGTAGATGTCCGTCCACGGCATCGGCCCCGCTCTTCGATGCGCATAATTCAACAATCCTTGTTCCATAGCGTTGGAGTTGAAGCGATCTTTGATTTTCGCAATGGTGAGATAGTAGTTGAACATCTCGATGCTGGGCTGGCAGAGGAAGAAGCCGCCAGAGAAATAGTCACCGGCAGGCGGCGGGTAGGGATGGACGCGTCCTTCCATGTATTGCTGGGCGGAGAATATGTAAGATCTGGGCAATGGGCCTTCGTCTTTTACTGCTAATTCTGGCTTTGGTGTGAGGGGCTCTGTGGTGGGGTCGGTGAAGATGCCGTCCATGCGCTCCGCAATGTACATGTCTGCATCCATGAAGAGGACTTTCTCAAAATGGGTCAATTCGAGCATTCGGAGCTTAGACATCATGTCTCTCCATCTTTGTAGGCCTGGCTTCATCCATGATTCTGATATCCTTTCGATCACTTTTACTGTTGCTCCATCTTTTCTCAGCCGCTCCAATTTTGACTCAGGTATATCCGGAGTTGCGAGGACGACGAAAGGGATGGAGGTGTTGGTGCCTGTTCTCGGGGCGTGCAATAGCTGGTATGCCAGAACTCGCGTTCCGACAAAGTATTCATCCTCGTCATCCGGCACAGTCTTGTTGTCGAGTTTCGGATTTGGGGCGAGCAAGGTGACGAAAGCGTATGGCGAGTTTCGGATGAGTGAGGATGTAGAAGATTTGGAAGAGGATGGATGATTTCGGGCTAGATTCAGAGGGTCAAAGGTGAATGCCAGAATAACGATTACGATCAAAGTGCCAACGGTAGCTTGAAATCTTTTGTTCATGCCGCGGGATGCATTTCCCTGCCAGGGGGGAGGATGACGAAGGGGTATGTAGAGCATGAAAGGCGCCAAAGGTGCGCTTGCGACCTAGGCAGAGGGTGTAGAGGAGTGGGTAGGGTGACTGTGAAAGAGAACAAAGACATTGACGGCTTACCTCGTTTGTCTCAAGGACAGCTGTCCGATTGCGCCGCGCGTGTATGGCGCACTACCGCTTGTTGGGTTGGTTGGGGGCTTGGTGAGCCGAAGAGTTCCAGAGTTGAGGCGGGATCCGCTGTGCCATTGTTGGTGGTGACTGAAACTTGCGCCGCAATACTCAAGCGAAGATGGAAACGGCGCCAAGTCTAGATCCTCGTATCTAGGTGGAAGTGGTAATTTTCCTGCAGATCTAATATAGTGTCATGACTCCTCAATTCTCAAGTTTGACGAGAGACAAATTGGGTACATGTTTACTCACAACATTGAGTTGAACATTTTCTATGCCATAGATATTGTGCCAAAGTGGTTTGTGGTGAAGATATGCTCAAACAGATTCTGTAATCTTAAAATGAACTACTGAGAAATCAGCTTAGGGGTAAATACGCAGTAAGGGAATCACGTAACGACGAGTCTTGCTACTGGAAGCCACCACGATTTCTCCGTTCACCGAAAATGCTCCATCTTATTCATACTGTAGACATACCTATCCGTATCGGTACCAGGATATTGCACTTTAGGCAACCACAAACCGTAGTCTCCTTGATTGCACTTTCATGTCTTCAGTCAAAGATTTCATTAGATATCAATGCGCATTATTTCTTTCCATGAGTGATTCATCAATCCCCGCCGGCCTGCTGTGAAGTCAGTCTGGACCAAAGCAGACATGAAGATCATATGGTCCGCTATCGACAAGATGATGCATTGACTCTCAAGTGCTCATACTGCCAGGTCATTCAGAGAATCGCGATTGAAGTGATGCGACTGACCAACGAAGCAAAGGGGAGCTGTATTGACCTCGGGCACTGACTGAAGGCCGACAGCAACGCTTGCTGCATTTTTACACACGGCACCGTGCTAGTACATATATAATGTCCGGAACCTTGCGATAGAGTTGAGGGTACTATGTTACAAAAAGACCTCGTTGAGCACTGGAGAGACTATTGCGATCTGGGAATCGTTAGCATCGACTGAAACTGTCTAACTTCGAACCTACAGAGGACAGCAGAAGGACCCATGATCGACTTTAGTTGTAAAGTGCAGCTGTGAGTAACTGCCAAGACCTAGGACCAGACACCCCACAAGCGTCAACACAATGGGGATCAAGCTACTGGGTCTAGGGAGTCACTCTCTATCTCAGGGCCGTCTCAGTCTACAGCTGCCACCACAGTCCTATGAACTTCTTCCACTACGACTACCCCGGTCCCATTCATCTTCATGAATCTGTCAGTCTCTACCACTACAACACCTCGGTTGCCACCTCTTATCACGACTCGATCGAGCAGCACACCATGAATGCCCCGGCTGGCAGGTGCTTCTACGAAGCACTTGGGGTCCCTCCACATGCCAAAAAGCAGGAGATCAAGCATGCTTACAGAAGACTTGCACTGCAATTGCACCCGGACAAGAACCAGGGAGACCCAAGCGCCAAAGAGTTGTTCCAAGAGGTCAGCAATAGCCATTGTCGTTGAAATCCATTGCTGATGATCTCTGGTTTGCACAAAGATCCAAGCCGCTTATGAAGCCCTCTGTGAGGATGACAAACGCGCAAATTACGATAGAGTTGCCGCATTTAAACCATCAAATCCACCAGTACGCACATGGAGGGAACCATATTACGAGCCCTATAACGCTTATACACGGGATCCTCCTTTCTGGTCCGCAGAATTACGCGAAATGACCGTCCAGAAATGTGCAAGAATCACAAAAATCCAACATCTCGAACGTGAGATTCGGGAATTATTGGTCAGCCTCAACGACTTGTTTGATGCAGAGGACAGAGCAGTCAGCAAGGAGAAGAAAGCACAAGGCTGGTTCGCCTCCTTTATCAAGTCGCGTCCCCCCAAAGTCAACGCCCAGCGGCATCGAGAATTTTTAACGAAGTCTGCTTATATCAACGCCCACCTTAACACGGCAAAAAACGAGCTCCGGACCGCTCATGAAGACCACAAAGATTTGCTCGAAAAGGACAACAACCGGAAGACCTGGTGGGCCAAGGAGAGGGTCAGACGAGTCGAGGAGGAGAACAGAAGAGCAGCAACGACGGCGGCGGAGGCGGCACGTCGAAGAGCCGAGAAGGTGCGTGAGCATGGAACGAGGGACTCGGAAGAGGCGAGGGCAGCAGAGGAAATACGCCGGCAAGCGCGGGAGAAGGCAACAAGGATAGCACGAGCGGCAAGAGCGGAGGAAGAATCTCGAAAGAGAGCCGAGAGGGTACGGGAAGACCCCGAAGCAGCGAAGGAAACACAAAGAGAAGCTTGTGAGTGGTTAGCGCAACAGAGGGAGGAGGCGGACCGTCAGAGATGATGGGATTCAGGATGTATCCATTACTACCAAAAAGAGATTCCCCCAGATGAGATAGGCAAGAGCACCAGCCCAGTCAGTCGCTATATCCGATGCGACCATTCCCGGCACGAATCCCTCCACGCCCAAGTAGGTAGATGCACACGGTGAGCGTTCGTGTTCCCCACACCTTTGCTAACCAAACACGAACGCGCACTATATCTATCGTACCCTCGCTACCAAACCATCATCTCGTGACCGCATCATGATCCAATATCCCACATGTCAAGAACATCAGGCGCGTCAGAGTATCCGCCCGATCCGAAAACCACAGTAGTTCCCAATCCTGACCGAAGCTGAAGCGAACCAGCGTCACGTCTCCCACCCGAGGCAAGTAAACGGCCGCGGAGATCGACATTTGTACACCAGCCCCAGGGGTTTATCTGCCTACAGATCCCATATCCTGACATCCTGCGACGCTGGTGCGAGCCAGGTCTGGGGCAGTTGTAGATGGAAGGTTACGGTTTCTGAGGACGTTGGTTTCGTTTTTGGAGGAGGAGGAGGAGGCGGAGGAGGAGGAGGCCACGTGTTCGAGAGCGGATGTCGGGCTCTGGTGTGCGAATGTGAGGCGTGGGGTTGGGGAGGTGGGGTGATGTGGTCGTGGATGGTTGGTTTTAGCTTTGGGAGATTGTCGATCGAGTGGGGATGGAGTCTGGGCGGGAGGGGGGTGAGAGGCTGTGAGTGGGGAGGGTAGGGTAGTGGAGTGGTCACTGAAATGGGCTGGTTTATATATTCGAGGTGGGGAAAGGTTCTGTTAGTGGTGTGACGAATGCGATATTGAAGGAATGCTGTTGAGAGAGTTCATGTAGATCGCGCAAGATATGTCGAATGAGTTTGGTAAGGCGCGGGGTTGTGTTCTACAAGGTTTGGATACCGATACTAGACATGCTTTCGGAAAGAGGATGTGGTTTTCTTTTTCGACTTGTCGCGCATGGGGTACAGCTGAAAGGGTTCTACACAGCAACTGTACCTTTTCCTGTCGTAGAAAGCCTGACGTGATACAGACAGGGCCCCGTACGGAAAAGTTCAGGATTCATTGGCGCTGATTTGCAACTTGGTATCATGTTGGATGATCCTACAACATAAAGCTGCTCCAAAATCCATCCTGGCACCACCTTTGGACTGGTAACACCTTCTTGTATCGCTCAAAATTCCTGCCCCCAAGATATCACGTCTCACCAATACCCCGGAATCGACTCCTCAAATTGGCGATCGTTTGGACCCCGACGGCGGTTGGAACGTGCCGTCGTGACTTCCAATAGATTCGCAAGCGCATCCCAATCCTCCTTTTCGCTTGTCAGCTCTTGTTCTACTGTGCAAGGCTCGAATACTCCATCGGCAAATAATCGTATGTAACGTTCATCGCGACTAGGAGGAATGTCTCTCCAGGAGCTAAACGACGCTGCTGCTGATTTGCGGGAGTGCATCACGAACCGAGTCAATTTTTTCAATGACAAGGACATCTCCATGAGATAATAAGACCAGCAACGCTCATAAGTATAGCTTCTCTGATCTGTATTCCCCCGCTGGATCCTGCCGGCCGGATATCCGTCATTGTCTTGCTGGCCAAGGAAGAAAGCCTCTCGAAGAATGGAGCAATCGACCAGGTAAAGTTTTTGGAGAGAGGTGGCATGCTTCAGTAGCCATTCCAACTTTGAATCGTGACTGAAGCAAAGCTTCCCCAACACGAGCGCTTGAAGACTGGGAAAGTACGTCTTTTCAATATCGACTTTTGGGTAGTAGCCCCAATGATCATCGGAGCAAAGCGCCAGGGTGGACAGGTTTTGTGCTGGCGTGAGCCAGACTACAGGAAGCTTCGCAAAGAAGTCCAAGCATTTGATGCTTAGATCGATATGATCTCTACTTTCAGGAACGCCTTTGTCGTGCATCCATACACCAAGTTGGAGTGTCGAAAGGCGGCCAAGGAACCTATCGAACCCTTTCTTTTCCGTCACAGGGGTATTTTTAGACGGCAGATTGTGTAGTGCGAGTGTCTTTATTGGTAGCGAACGGCCACTCGGAGTGAGCAGTTTGGCAAGAATCATGTCGAGGATTTGGAAATGATACTGTTGCGGAACAACGTTTCTAAGAGATCCCGTAGCTCGACGATTCCATGGGAGGTTTATACAAACAGACCCAAGATTCTCGAATGCACAAACGTTGCGAAGAGTGTGGATGACCTCATTCGGTAGGGTAGCAGCGCCACGCTCGCAGACCTGTCCGTAAAGTCAGCTTGCGGCGCAGAAGTAGGAATTTTCTTACCCTTTGGCCAACCTGAAAGCTGTTGAACGTTAGCTGAGAAACGCATGTCCTGAGCTCTTCAGATGCAAGAATCTCGACGAAGCCCTTCCCGCTTTCGGTACTGGTACCGAGAACAAGCTTTCTAAACATTGGCTTAGTTGCAATTTGTGCCAATCGAGAGCATGTCAGTCGTATATGAGGGAGGTCCTGCCGCGGCAAGTTATTGA